CTCCTCCCTCTCCTCCTCTTCCTCGGAGGCTTCGCTCTGCTCATCCTCCCCCTCCTCCTCCTCGTCCTCCTCCTCCTCCGGGAACTCCACGTCGGACTCCCCGGGGGCGATGGGGACGCTGATGGTCAGGTTCGGGTTTGTCATGTAGCTGTCGTCCTCCGGCACCACGTACTTCTCTACATGACGGCCTGAGACACAGAGACAGAAGTAAAGATGTGTCTCAAATCTCAGATCTCCCAGCGTCCTTGAATGATCCCAACTTTGAAAGTGTGTGTGTGTGTGTGTGTGTGTGTGTGTGTGTGGTACCTATGACCGCTCCGTTGGCCTCAGTGTGGATGGTACTCAGCCGTTTGAGCTTCATCATGGCTTTGGCCTCTTTTCGCTTCTGACGGCGACGCTTCAGGTTCCCGTTGAAGAAATCCACCACCTGCAGAGCAAAGACAGCGTGAGACGTAGAACTCACAGGTTGTCTGTCAGACAGTCTGTGGAGTTAACAGACAGACAGGTACCTGTCTGCGGCACCAGGCCAGGCCTCTGGTGATCCTGTGGATGGCGATATGCAGGTTGTTCATCTCCCCGTCGTCGTCCGGAGCCGACAGGTTGTCGGAGCTGAAACTGCTGAGGAGCAGAGCCAGGAAGAGGTTCAACAGCTGGAGACACAGAGAGACAGACAGAGAGACAGACAGAGAGAGAGAGGGAGAGAAGTGTTACAGCTGCACTGACATCTGTACAGTGATTTGTTGATTTCTAATACCACCTTTAGGTATTTATCTTCACTAATGTGCCACAATAACACGTTTTTAGGTTCAAATATCTTCATTTTGGGGGCTCGTCCAAGAAAATACTGTTTGGGATTAAATCAGCATTTATTTCTGCCACCCCATGAATATTTCTCTAGCTCCGCCCCTGTATCTTGTATCTGTCTGTCCCATCCCAGCTGGAAGCAAAAGGGGACGAAGCGTTTGGGGCCCCGAGGCTCTGGAACAATCTGCCCGAGGACATCAGGTTGGCTGAGTCACCGATCGCTCTGCAGCCTCCTGATTTTATTTAAATTTACTAAATGTTCTTCTTGTTTTAAACTGATGATTTTATAACTTGTGTTTTATATTTTTTAAAACACTTTGTAATGTTGGTTTTAAAAGTGCTCCATAAATAAAGATTATTATTACTAATATTAATAGTAAAACATACATTGGACTACGAGCTACAGCAGCAGAGACACGAGTTAACATCGAGGTCAAAGTCTTCCTCCAGATGTTTCTTCCTACTCTCCTTCCCTCTTGTTCTATATGCTTAAACTAACACACACACACACACACACACACACACACACACACACACACACACACACACACACACACACATACTGTACACACACTCTGGTATCATAGTTTCCAGTGCAGGTTGATTATTCAGTGTGTACTGAATAATGCCTGAGACTCTTGGTAACTGATCACCAAGTCGGAGTGCGGCTCTTAGCCAGATTGGCTTCTGTTTAACCACAGCTGAGGTGTGTGTGTGTGTGTGTGTGTGTGTGTGTGTGTGTGTGTGTGTGTGTGTGTGTGTGTGTGTACTAGATGACAGGGGTCTAGGTCAGGTGGATCAGGTGGCAGCTTCCTGTGTTTGTCTTCTGATTACAGTCAGCAGGCCTCAGACCTGCAGACAGGCTGCTTTTGGTTCTTGCCCAAAGGCACTTCAGCAGGGCAGAGAAAGTGCAGTTGCTGCACAAAAATGTCGGAAAGAATCGTTTTAAAAGCTCCAGTGTGTCACATTTAAGAGGATCTATTGTCAGAAATATAATATAAAACTCATAGGTTTGTTTTTATGCGTGTATAATCACCTGAGTGTAAGAATTGTTGTGTTTTTGTTACCTTATGTTTCTATAGTAGCCCTGAAGGGACAAACCAAACAGCCAACGCAGTTTCTCCTTCATGCGTGGAAGTGGAGGGTGAAGCAAAGGAGGTGCAATCTGCAACTACCCCACTAGGAGCCACTAAACCCTACAGAGAGGTCCTTTAATATTTAGAACGATACGATACGAACACACGACTGTAGTGTTTTTGAGCCATTCACTGCACCTTGTGTATGTATCATCAGATAGACAGCACATCTATAGACACCAGAGACTGTGAGACATCTCCCTGTCTGTCTGTATCTATCACACACACACACACACACACACACACACACACACCCCGCAGGCTGGATGTGCCTCAGCTGGTTGTTACGTAACACCTCGACTAGAACCAGCAGCCTCCAAGTTTCTGGTTGTGTAAGAGGAAACCAGGCCAGTGGGTCAATACCTGACATCAGGAAGTGACCTTTGACCTCTGTGTGTGTGTGTGTGTGTGTGTGTAAGAGAGAGAGAGAGAGAGAGAGAGAGAGAGAGAGAGAGAGAGAGAGAGTGTGTCAATGACCTGAATGTGTACAGTGGATTGTAAAGATTAATAAATAAGTAAATTAATCTGATTCTGTTCAGATTATTTTCTACTTTTAAGAAATAAAACTCTTTTACTTTTTATGTTTTACTTCACATTTTGAATTTGCTCGAATCTGCTCTATATTAACTTTAACTAAAATATTAAAATACTTAATTTAACTTAAATATTTATATCTATATATATCTATTATTTTTGCTGGGTGTGTCTACATTTTATTTAATTTAAAATACGTTTAATCTTAAAAAGTTCAAAGTTTAAAACAGATTAAAATGTAAATAAAAAATACTGAAGGATGAATAATATTTGTTTATATGATTCCCAGTTTACTGTTACTAGTGATACCTTCAAAATAAGATACTTTTAAGTTTTTTATTTTGGTGAATGAAGCTAAATATGTTAACTTTTACTCAAAAACACATTTATATCAGTTTCATACTGTAACATAACTCTGTTCAGTGTGTATGTGAGCCACAGGGTAATCAATATAAACATTAGACAGTGTGTGTGTGTGTGTGTGTGTGTGTGTGTGTGCGTGCTGCACGTGGCACATTAAGAAGGTGTGTCTGTGTAATTTCGCGTGTGAAATAAGTGCGAGTTAGTGTCTATTCCTGTGTGTGTTATTGATCCAGAGCTGCTGGTGTGTGTGTGTGTGTGTGTGTGTGTGTGTGTGTTGTTTGTGCTGCTGATCTGTGTTCGGCTGTCACATGCCCGCTTTCACCGTCCCTTGACACGCTGGCGTCTGATTGGCCGCCGGTCCGACCCAAACACCAATAGATCAATGCTGTTGATTGGTTAACATGGCAACAAGCTCCGGCAGCTCGACCAATGACCTTGCTGCCTTCCAATAGCCGATAACACATCACTGACAGAACGGATCTGTTTAACCTGCTGGGCGTCTTATTTTGAAAAGCACAAACATGCATAATCGCTGTTTACATTGTTTACACTGTTTACATTGTTTACAGCACAAAACAAACAACATGAATGATTAGAAATGGAAACTTCTTTATGTTGCAAAGTTTACTGGTTCCAGCAGGACAGTCAAACTGTGATAAAAACCTGCTGTTGTGGGTGGGAAACCCCTTTAAGTGTGTGTATGTGTATGTGTTTGTGTGTGTGTGTGTGTGTGTGTGTGTGTGTGTGTGTGTGTGTGTGTGTGTGTGCGATGATAATGTGAGACATAAAGTGAGAGAGGAAAGTTGTGAATGTGTTTATGTTTGATGACAGCCATCTGTGTGTGTGTGTGTGTGTGTGTGTGTGTGTGTGTATGTGTGTGTGTGTGTCAGTTTCCGGAGCAGCAGACCACCTGATCCCCACAATTCACCTCGTTTAACTCGTAAAGCGGATCGTACCAATTATCCCACGGAAGTGGGCCAACCCTGGCACCTCCGCGCACACACACACTCACACTCACACACACACACACACACACACACACACACACACACACACACACACAGTGAAACGAGAGCACAGCTGAGCCGCTGGTTGCTGGTCGACAGACAGGATAATTGACTTTTTTTCTAGAATATTTTTGTTAATTTGAGTAAGTTTGTCTTTTATTTTTATGTAATATTTTCCTCACTGGTCTGTTTTTTTGTTTAATTTAATTTCTTTTGCTGTCCGTAAAGTTTCTCTTTTAAAAAGTGCAGCACAGATAAAGCTGAATTATTTCCTACATTATTAAGTTTGTGACAAGAATGGAGGCTCAAATCCTCCGAAAATATGGACGTGAACACTGATTAACAAGCTTTAATGCGACAGAGCAGTCACTGTCATCCACAACGCAACTCATTTATACATCCTCACAGTTATTAGATATAATTAGGCCTTTTTTTTTGCAATAATCAAATCATAAAAGCTGCAATTAGTCACTGATAAAGGTAAAATACGACAGAACAGCAGTAAGTGCTGGCATACATTGTTAAATAGAGGTACAATGTGACCGAGGATGCAACCTTAAAGGGTTAAAATGACCTGGACTCTAACATGAGCGGCAACCAGCAGCGAACAGTCTTCCCCTCACCGGTGGACGGACCGTGGCTCAGCGGTCATTAAAGATACATTCAGCTCCGACTGAAACTAAAGTTCAACTCAGGTAGTCGAGGAAGCAGCTGCTGTCCTGGAAACAGCCGAGCATCACACACACACACACACACACACACACACACACAGTGAGCTACAGCATCCACAGAGCCGGAGGGGAGGGGGGTCGGGATGGTGGTGATGAACGAGCGGTAACATGATCTGTCTCTGGTGCTCCCCCTTGTCACAACAAACCCCCTCGAGCAAAGCCCCCTGGGAAAATGTGAGGGAAGAGGAACGAGAGAGGAGACAGTGGAAGAGACGAGAAATCATTTATTAACCGGTTTTAGTTGCCGTAATGTTTCGTATCCTGTACAAATATTTATAAATCCACTAAATGAGTGCACAGTATGGCCAAATGTCCTGACCTCAACCACATCCAGCAGCTCCAGGATGAACTGAAACACCAACTGTGAGCTGGACCTGATCTCCCGACAGCAGTGTTCCTTGCCACTGTCGCCAAGTGCTCGCCCATGGTGGGAATTGTCGTCCCAGCAAACATGAATCTGATATATGTTGAAATAATTACACTAGAAAATGTATGGAAGTATCTAATCTCTGAAGGCATGAAGCCAAAAACATTTAAAAATAAAAGGTTGTCAGAGCAGGTGTTAATTTATTTCTGTGGACTCTTGTAGCTCGGAGGGTTTCACTGCGCGAGCTCTCCGAATCTGAAAATTATTAAATCTCCACACGGCGCCACAAGGAAAACAAAAGGTGATTTATAAGCAACTATTTCTCTCTTGGCATGAATTCATTAAAACAAACTTTGCTGTGTTGTTTAGTTAATTGGAAAATATGGAAAAAGTTGTACTTTCATTACTGTACATTCTCCACCAGACTGAACGTTAAACACTCACTGTCATTCATCTTCACCTATAAAGTGTTTATTTATAATTTGTATTTTAATCTTCTCTGCTGTATTAAATGTTTCTAACACACTATGAAAAGCACTTTGCTATATTTGTATTTTAATCTGTTATTTTCTTTGGATTTTTTGCTGATACATTGAATGATGTCTTGTTCTTGGATCAGGAGATTTTGACTCTGTGCAGCCAGGAGCTCCTTCAAACTCCGTTTTCTTCCAATCTGTCATTTGAAACACGTATTACTGACTACAGTTA